TAAATGTAAATTATATTTACATGTATTATATATTATAGCTGCTCCTAATGGTAGTGGCAATGATGAAACTATTCCAGTACCAACTAAAAGAGGAAGAGAAGGAGGAGGTACATGAACACAGCATGTTATGACTAGCTATTGACTATCGTTATTGTAGGTTTTGATATTAAAACAGCTAAACAAAAGATCAAACAAGTTATGATTGAGAATCACTCTGATTTTGCGGATATTTTGGAGAGTTCTCTTAAAGAAATTGCTAACAAACTGTTTGAAGCTAAAATTATTACCCGGCAAGTTCAGAGGTCACCAACTTATGATGCCATAGCCTCAAGTTTCCTAGCTATAATGAATCTATTGGACTCTAAGACTGCTCTAGAGAAACATTGTGTGAAGTATCTTGAGGCTCTGTCTAGTGTTGGGGGACCAATAGAATTTGTTGCTAATCTCTTGAGGGAAAAATGGACAACAGCTCTGGAGGGTACACTTCAGTTTGAACAGTCTGTGAAAAGAGTTAGAACTAATGATGATGCATGAGATTGCACTTAAAATTAGCTAATATATTTTTTGATTTTAAAACACTAAATCTATTTTTGTAATGTTCCACTCTTCTGGTCTATATTATTTATTCCTTTCACTCCAACTCTTTCATTATTGACATACTAAAACAAAAGACGAGATTCCATAATTTCAATGAAGTAGGGGTGTGGGCTGTGGCTCATAAAATTTTAATCAATAAAATGGAGGAAAGGTGCAACAAAACAAAACACTTAACAGCATCTCCTGCCATAGCCATGGAACCTAAGGAACTAATAACATGGACCCGCCATTGTGATTACTGGAGACAGGTAAATGTGAAATTAATTAAGGAGGATATACATTATTATAACTATAATTAATTAATGAGTGCATGTTCATTCAAAAGTTTATACTCCAATAAGATTCATTGTAGAGGTGAACCTAATGGAGTCAAAAGGGGCCAGGGTTGGTAAGTCTCTTTAGCCACTGGTAGCCAGACCAGCCTACAGTCATTGGGTGGTAGCTGGGGAATGGTCTGGCTAGTGAGGCTAGGCCGGGGGGACATGGAGCCTACTGAAGGAAATAATGAGTGTAATACCCTGGATCAGCATTGGGATGACTGGGGTCAGGTAAATGTAGAGTTATTTAAGGAGGATATACATTATTATAGCTAATTGAATTATTGTGCATGTCATGTGTATACATGTCTGTTCTTATGTTGTGTAGAAGTTTAAGCCATTTTGATCAATTTTAGATTTTTTTGAATTTTTAAATTATGCCAAAGTCTCTGTGCTTTAGTACATGGCCCTGGGCCAAATTTTGCCAAAATTGAAAAGTAGAGATTTCTTCATTTTTATAATTTTTCCTGATACACATACATGTTCTTATGTTGCATAAAAAGTTTGAACCAGTTCCGATCAAATTTGGATTTTTTAGGAATTTTTTAAGTTGCTCAACAATTAGGCCAAAGTCCCTGTACTATTAGTAACGCGGTAGCGTTACTAAGTAGGATTCACCCCCAAACAAAATGGCTGCCACGACTTTTGCAGCCTTGCTATACCGGGAAAACGAGCTCCTATGCTTACCAGACTTTATAGAGGACCTTATCTTGACCAGAGGACTCCAATGGTACCACTAGTGTGGCTCTAGACCTCATCTAAGCGAAAAGTCAAAAATCGGCGAATCGGCCGTTTTGTTCAGCCACCTTTTTTCATCTTCATCATCTTCATCTTCATCATCATCAAGTCCTGTCAATCCAGTTGTCGGTGTGTATCTCAGTATCAGTTGGTGCTACAAGGATAATTCTTACACCAATCTACTCCAACAGTCTATGCGCAGGTCCATGTCCCATCAGATCATTCTTCAAGTAAGGAAAAAGTGATACTGTGACTGCTGGATCGAGCCATCTTAGCTACATGCCGCCATTTTGTTAATTAAAGAAGCTTGCCATGTGCTCCAAAATTTGGGTGTGGTCGCGCATGCTCAGATGCAGATCTGCAGCTCTGGAAGAAGCAATTTATTTTTTACCAAGCTATGCTTGGAATCAACTTACTGCAATACTTTAGTGGAGGTTTCCAGCTAAAAGAAGGTATTGATTTTACATGTTACTGTTTTATCAAGTGTGTTATTTTATTTTATTTAAAAAAACAAACAATTAATTAATGTTATGACTTATGATATGCAATAATAATTATGAACT